ATTATTTTAAAAACATTAAAATATTGGCTTGAGCTCTGCAGCGTTGTGCTTGCGAACACCACGGCTCTAGGGGTGTAGCGTCGGGGCATAGGAATTCAGTTTGATGACACTGACGCTCTATGTTCTATAGTAACTATATATGAGCATGTGGTGTTGCGGCGCTGGGTTGGAATGTCGCTGTGTTAGGCACTAAAAACATTATATATATCCTGCTATTCTGTTTCTTATTGGGGAAGGAGCTGAGGAAGGGAATAAGGGAAGCGAAAGAGAAGAGGAGAGAGAAAGCTCTCAAGGGATTTTATCATTTTATGTTTATCACTTCTAATAAAAAAAATGTTCTAAACATTGTAAGTGATTATACTCATACTCCTGTTTTCGATGATTTTAATTTATATGGTTTTAATTTTTTTGAGTTTGATAAAATAGTATTTTTCTTCTAATTTATCGAGCTTTTATGGTGTAACTTTTCGAATATGATAGATATAATTATATGTATCATTATTTATATTTTTCTTTAATATAATTAGTTAGCACTAGTTATCAATGATATGATAGTTTAAAAAAAAAAATAGATCCTCCCACTTTAGATATCGGGGCGTAACACATATAAAGGGAGCCTGAGCTAAATTTGGAGAGAGCTTGGAAATCTTAAGTATTCGATACTCCTAGACCGATGATCAACACAAACAACCTCCATCAGGAACCACCAAAAGATGACCTCCATCATCCAATCACTATTGATTGATCACCAACAAGAACCACCATAAGTAGACCTCCATCATCCAATCATTGCTTGTCGTTGCCTAATCAATATTGCCCGTCTATTATTCCCCAACCGACATCTTCTAACCATCTTTGTCCAACGGTTACTTTAGACTATTATTATTCTTTGCAACTTCTTTAGCAATTTATATTATAAACATAGGAGATCAAGCAAGTATTACCAACTTTATAAGCTTACCTCTCAAATTAAGTGAGAGAGAGAACTTCTACATTCTTATAAAGAGGATAATTCAATTGAGTAAAATCATATGATTTTTTCTATTTTTGAATTTTGGCACAAACATGAGTATTTATTTCAACATTCGTTTTATCAATGTATGTATCAGATCTTTATATAAGGATAAGGAGTTAATGTAAAAAGTGATAAGTAAAATAAGTTCAACTCTTAAATATAGAGGTGCCTTTTAGTATAATGGTTATAATTATATTAAGAAACTCCACGGTTAAGTGTGATCATTATAGAAAAATCCTGAGATGGGTGACCTCTTGAGAAGTTATACCAACATGACAAAACTGTGAGGTTCTTAGACCAAAACGAATAATATCTCGATAGTTAAGAGTTTGGGCAGTTATAAATGATATCAGAGCAATACAATAGCTGAAAGATGATAACTAAGTGTCATACTATGCCATGGCTTGAATCCTATATGTGACAAAGTACTATGCAGTGGGAGTCACCACTTGAACTTGAAGGGGCCATCTCTAGAATCCTATATGTATGGTAGATGATCATGGGATAAAGATACTAACAAGGATGTTAGTTACTTAAGTATGGGGAGATTGTGAAACTCCTAAAGTAAAAGAAGTTAAACTCTTAAAAATAGAGACACATTTTGATGCAATGGTTAATTTTTTATTAAAAAGCTTTATAGTTAAGTGTGCTCATCCTGGAGAAATCCTTAGATGAGTGACCTCCTAAAAAATTACTTCAAAAGAGCAAAACTGCAATGCTCTTAGACCAAAATGCACAATATCTCGATAGTTAAGAGATTGGGCTGTTATAATTAAACCCTCTATAAGACATGAATATTCTACCATGAAACACCTCTTATTTATGATAAAATAGATAAGATAATTTCACTTATAAGTGTTATAATAAAATAATATAAACAAGTCAATTTTAGGATATAATTAAAAAAACACTTAGTTGAGATAAAGAAAATAAATAACATTTTTAGATATTTTGAATAATTAATATTTAAATTATTAAATTCTAATGCATTTCAAGTCCATTTTATATTACCAAATTAAGCTAGCTCATGAGCAAATAAAACCAATTAAGGTAGACTTAAACTTGCCTCACTTGCTCACCAAACACGACTAACAAGTTGTCATATATCAAATTAAATCCAAATCAGCTCACGAGTCGACTTGACTCATATACACCACTACCTAATTCTTGCATCTAAATGATTTTTATTTATCACATAACCTTTGATCAAATATGACCTATGATATCTATATATTTGACCTAATTAGAATCATCCATCAATTCAATCAAGCCTCCAACAACCTCTATTTTAATTTATATGATTTATTTTCATTAAACCCTTATCTTTCCTTCAATGACTTAGTAAGATGGGATTGTTTATGAACTTCTTTGCTTATATCTCCATCCTCTTTTATGTAAACTCAGCTATTTTGTGGAGAAATATGCACATAGTGTTGTTGGTCTATGAAAAAGTTGTTTGTTGGTGATAGATGTTAGAATTGAACTCTTGCATCAATTAATTGGATTTGGGCCCCACCAAAAAAATGATTTTTATAGTTAATTAATAATATATATTTATAAAATACAAAACAATCAAATACAATATTAGAAATATCAAAATCATGTTGTATTATTATCATCCTTACTCAAAATAGATAATTAGTTGATTTAGAATTGACAACTAGAAAAAAAAATGAAAAATAATTAAATATGAGTGTTTACTAAAAAAGAAATAAACGAGTTAACATGAATCTGACCTGAATTTGTACATGTATTTGAACATGAAATTTTGTATATGTCATATTTAAATTAAATTTTATACCGAATCTATTATTGATAGCCTTAATTAATAATATAGTAGTCTTTTGAACGAGTAAATATTTGATAAATTTTAAATATCAACCAATTTAAATATAAGAAAAAATCTTAATTAGATGAAAAAAATATGACAGAAGGGCGGTGGTTGTTGGAGGCAAGTGACGAGAGTGGTGGTGGGCAACCACGTAGCAGTGGCTGGCAACAGAGGGGTGACAACAGGTGCAATGGTCGGCAATAAGGGGTGTTGGTGATGGGGAATGGTGGTGACAAGAGACCTTCCTTGTTGAGTACCACGGGCAACGGGGCAACTCCTAGGAAGTTGAGCAGGTTACTAGGCGAGGGCGAGTGCAAGCTCGAGCTGGTGAGTGCGAGCCGACGATGGGTCAAACGAGTTGTATTTGGATTCACAGGTTAATTCGAACCAACCTAGCTTTTTAATTGAGTCAAAAATTTAAACTCAAATTCGACCCATTTATCAAAAGTATCGACCCGAATTCAAAATTTTTGAATTTTATTTTCAGATTATGTTATATATTTACACCCCTGCCTTTGAATAGAGCCTCAGTCACCCTTACCTTAGATTGAACCTCGGTGACAAAGTCACTCCGTTAAGGCTATTCCAGTAATATCACTTCCATTTGCACTTTGCAAGGCCGGTAGTTACCATCAAATTACCAAAATATCCTCTTCCACGCCATAAAGAAATTATAATACTCCACGTGTCATCCGATGTGATTTAATGTTCTCCACGTGTCAACTTTCCAACGTCACCCAGCCCGCCACGCAAGCAGCCGCGCTGTGACCACGGAACCAAACTGTGGGCCCAGTGCGCCGCTCCACCAGCCACCTCCTTGGACTGTTTTGCAGTGGGCCCAGCCAAGTTGTCGTGTAGCGGCCCATCACTTTTCCTCTTGGGCTAACCAAAGGTCGTGGAAGTGGGCCTCTTAGGCCGTCGGCAGACGCGTTGCTGTGAAGTGGGCCTGGAGGGAACAGATTCGCACATGTCGTGGAGTGTAGGTGGGGCATCTACGCACGTGCGACACGTGGGATGGTGGATTGATTAAGCTGTAATTACGCAATTCAAGAGGAATCAACGCTTCCATGGAAATGAATAGCTATAGCTATATCTAACTTTTCAATAGAACAACTAAAGATTTCTTAATATAGGCCAGATTTACAACATATATTCTCCTAAATTAGTGAAATTATTCTGTGTAGATACAGACGTCGTTCATAGGTAAATCAGAACCCGTCACTTCACTTTTTTAATGTATACCGCCGTTGTGTACTGGGTGACGTTGCGCGTTTTAATTTGTCTCCGTACAGTCTGATATCCTCATAAAATAATTTCTCCCTAAATGAGTTATAAGCAGGATGATTTTTAATTTGTTAATACAATGTATTACAAGATTTTTGTTATAATTGTTCAGTAAAATTTGCATTAGTTGTCAACCATTTAACTCAACCTTTTTTTTTTATCATAAGATGGGGAAAATTTATTTTATGCGGACACCGAGCATCGTTTGGAGATCAACCAAAATGCTATTGTCACCCCTTCCCTGTATACCGAGACTCAATACTGCTCGGCACCACTCAGTACCGCGGCTCGGTACTGCTGCGTGGCTGCACCTGTACCGCGGCTCGGTACTGCTGCGTGGCTGCACCTGATTCGCCTCCGGACGTAGAGATGCGTCTGACCTCTGCGCAGAATAATTTCTTATTGGAAAAAAATATTCTGTGCGGATGCTGAAAGCTATTCGGAGAACAACCAGAATGTGCCACATCACATCTTCTTTGTATACCGTGGCTCGGTACTACTGACATGACTACACCTGACTCGCCTCTTGGACGTAGAGTTACGTTCGGCCTCCGCACAAAATAATTTCTTTAGGATTGGAGACTTGGCAACAATATTATTATAACTTTGCATTAATATTAACAAAATTTAAATAAAAAAATTTTATCTTTTATTATAAAAATGGGCATATTAGACTGTGCTTTTATTTTTTATTCTTTAAAATAACTATTTATGTTAGAAAACATATCTAATCTAAGAATTTTTTTTTTTAATTTTAAAAAATATCAAAATACCACAGGAAATAATAATAAATAAATAAAAATACAGTCGAATATATATATTAAAATAATTTATAGATAAAAAAATAAATTCCCTGCTTAGAACTTTGATTACGTATAAAATAATCTGATACGAATTATCTGTCTCTTTCCCCTCTTCAGATCAACCCCTTTTTCTCCTTTTTCTCCGGATCTCTAATGTCCTCTGAAATTCCTGCAACTCGCCCTTTGAATCGAAGATGAGGAACGCATTCTGAGCCACGGAAATTGGGGTGGAAAATGCCGTGGTGGGGAAGAGAAAGGGATGGGATCGAGCAGATTCAGAGTGGCGGTCCGCCATTTGGCCAGATTCGAATCCTCGTTGTTGGGGACTCAGGTAGGTTCGCTTTACTGCAATCTGGGTTGTTCTGTGTTAGGTTTTCATGATTGGTGCCTGGTGCGTATTTGATATTACGATGTTAGTAGTTTGTAATTAAATACATTAGTGCATGTAATGGGCATATGGATCTGCAGTCTGGCAGTGAGAAGGGTTTTTGGTGGAATGAATGACTCTTAGATTACCAAGCTATTATTTTCATTTTAGTTGGATTTTGTTAGAGCCAAATGGAGAAGATGGAATGTAGAAAAGGCTCAGGGCTTGGATTTGCATTTTGTAGGCATAGAGAAAGAAAAGAACTTGACAATTGTTTTTGTTAGGATCTTGGAGGAGATCTTGAGAGACATTCTTGCAAGAGATAGAGAGGGAAAGGGAGGGAGAGAGAGAGACAATATTGAGGAGGAAAATACCTCAAGCTTCATTAATTTTCCCCAACCAATATATCATACAAGGCTTCTATTTATAGAAGGTTAACAATGGTGTGGTAGCATGCATGAACAAAATAACCTAAAACTAAAACAATACTTAACAGTTTTGTTGTTACAGAACACAATGGAAGCTTAAGTTATAGCGAATATGATACAATTCCTTACTCAAAATTAGTATGGCTGTGCAAAATCATTGGCGGTTATGGGATTTTGATGGCGGCAAATTCATATTAAATTTGATATTTACAGTGCATTATGTTGTATTAAGTAAGATTATATGAAGGGTATCCAAACATTCTGAGTGGATGTGATATGAACCTTCGATCCCTGTGGCTGCTGTATGGGAAAACAGCAGGGAAGAAAGGGAGAAATAATGAATAAAGAAGAGAAATGAGGGATAACTAGGCAGTTTGAGGATATATATAACTCAAAAAAATAGAGAGGGAAGAAATTTTCTTTTCATTTTATATTTATTTCTATTAATTGAAAGTATTTATGAACCACAATGATACACTTCTAACCCAGAACTACAAATTAACCATTAACATAACCCAAAATGCTAATTACATTGTTACTACTTGCATTTCGCTTACATTTCAACACCCCTTTAAAACCAACTTTGTCCTCAAGGTCGAGTTGAGAAGTGAGGCAAGAAAAAAAAATCTAGTAAGAAACCCATATAGTATATTCAGATTAATAGTGCAGGTTGTGGCCTAACTTTCTAGCTATAACTCCTCATGCCTATCTCCTTGTAATAATGGAAGTGGCAGCCATTTATCTAGGTACAATAACTCAAGCGGATTCTTCTTATGCAATAGCTTTGAATTAGAGTTGCAAAGAGAATTTTGATCACTGGACACTTGAGGAACAAAAGTTTTTCTTCGAGAGAACCAAGTTTTAAATTGTGGAGCCTGATTTTTTCCCTACAAAGAAAACACACTAGTAAAATAAAAGCACCATCTTAATTTAATTATTTATCTACCACGGACTTTCCCAAGAGTTTGTTCTTCTTGTATAGGAGATTCCACAAAAAGAAATAAGAAAAGAGGCCCAACATGATAGGACCAACAAATCTTATCTAGACATGCATAAAATGCTTGCAAGAAGTCAATCATTGAGGTCAAGGCAATCAAGAGATTGTGGGTTACTCAATCTCCCAAACGGACTAGGTTTCATAAGGATAATTACACTCAAGGGCACATCTAAGAGCAACTCTCGATAAATGAAATATGTTTTTTATCTTAATTTGTGCAAGTTAAGGAATATTACGATCCAAAGACTGTTGGTCTAATAGTGCAGCTTATGCTTTAAGATAGATGAATTTGTAAGGTAGAAGGTGAATCATTTTGACCAAGCAAGATGACTATCTTTCCACATAGAAAATTTATATAGTGAATCATTGAATCACCAAAAATTCAACAAATAAGTATAATGGACTCAAAAGGGTGATGGGTAAATGATAAGAGTTCTAGGAAAATGTTGAAGTAATCTTAATCAAAACTAAATGGGTCCATCATCCTTAAGTTATCAAACTTGAAATCATATAGCTGAAAAAGGTCATCGACCTAATCCATTTGTGAGACGCTCTGTCAAAAACTATGAATTACATCTGACCCCATGATCTCAAGATTCTTAGACAAAGGAATTTTTAAGAGGTGGATATGAAAATATGTAGGACTTATAATCTTTAGTGGTATAGAGAATTGCCCACGAAAAAGTGAATGTGATGATTCAATTATATGCAATCAGAGCTACTCAATCGGACTTAAAATTTTATATGGGCCAAGATTGTCGCTACCTAGTGTACTAGATGATTTCTAAGCATATTAAAAATCCATGTCTAATAAAAGAGTTCCATCCTAGGGAGCATGATATGAAATATAAAATTATTTGTCCTTAAGTTAGAAAGATAATTCTATTATGCATGCTTGACTGACTATGCAAAGTTTTTATTATTTCACTTGACATATTTAAATTAAACCTCAACCAAGTTGATTAATTAAATTTGCTTTTTTTCATCATTTAAAATAGAGGTTTTTTATAATGAAATGTACATTCTATGCACTGCAGATGTCCAATGCTCATGTAATTGATATGATATGATCATGTATATGAAATGAACATTTTTAAATATATATATTTTTTTATTTTTAAAATTATTTAATATTTTCTATACAACAACAACAACATCATCAAGCCTTTATCTCACTACGTGGGGTCGGAAAATTATTATAAAAAAATACAAAAATTATGAAAATTATTAAATCAATTGAAAAAAATCAAATAATTTGGAATATATTCGAACATGCTTAACATGATGTTTGAACTTGAAAACATACATTGGTTGAGTAAAAAAATCATGAAATTTAATTTTTCTTTAATTGACCTATTTTGTATTTTCTAAAATTATAAATTAGGCTTTTTGTTGACCCTCTCCCGTGAAAACAAAAAAAAAATCAAAATAAATCAAAATCTCACCTACTCTCTGCCGAACGCACGATCTCGGCACGACTCGCACGTCGCACGACCTCCTTTCACATCGCTGGCAGGACACTCTCGCGTCGTTAAAAGGAATACATGGACAAGGCCTTCGGCCGCTGGCTCTCTCTCGCGTCGACTCTTCTCCCGATCCCTCTCTCGCTCTTTCTCCTCCCAGCCGGATCGGAAGTTACAACAGTTGATCGGAAGCAACTCGGGAGCTCGCTCGGCTGTGAAGATAACTTTCTCCCTTCCGTGCGTTTCTTCGGCTCCTTCCTGGCTGTTCGACGAAGCTCCTTCGACGACTCTCCCTGCCCGTAGGATCGGAAGTTACGACATTTTGATCGGACGCTTGAACTGGAGCTTGCTGGTGAGGAAGGAGGTGTAGAGATTGCAGGCGCCGCTTCTTCGGCTCCTTAGGCTGTTCGACCTCGCTTCCTCCAACGACTCTCCCTCTCTGTTGGACCGGAAGTTCAACATTTTGATCGGGCTCAAGAACAAGAGCTCGCCGGCTGTAAGGGTAACTTTCTCCCTTTCACGCACTCCTCTCGGCCAAATCCTATTAAAAAAAAGTTTATATTTAATTATAATTATTTTAATTAATTATGATTATTTTTTTAATTAATTATACTTATTATAATTAATTATACTTAATTTTAATAAAGTAATTATAATTAATCTGATTAATTATAATTAACTTTAATTAGAATTAAATTTAATTAATTATAAGTAATTAAAAATAATTTGTTAATTAATTAGAATTAATTATTATTAATTATAATTAATATAAACAAAATGCTTGCTTCTCCCGCCTCGGTCCACGAGCCTCTAGCGCCAGTCGCCAAGGAATAATTTCTAAGACTTAAATCCTCTCTTACCTCGGTGTTCATCTCGAGCCGGCAAACCGCCCATACATGCTTTTTTCTAGCGTGGTGGGAAGGGAACCCAGTGCGACACCTACGACGAGGTAGGTGAGCGACCCCTCGGCCCCAAAATCCTGCCCTCGGCGTGTGTGACGAGCCGGCTAACCACCTATACACGATTTTCTTAGCGTGGTAGGAGGGAATCCGGTGCGACACATACGACGAGGCAGGTAAGCCTGGTGCACGCTTTTCTTAGCGTGGCCAGGACAACTCTTAAGTACCGTACATGGCTCTGTACCTGCGGGGAAACGACTA